CAGATAGAGACAGCCAGTCGGCCACAGAGACGGACATATATGTCTCTAACTAATCGACCCAATGTTGCCTTTAAATGGTTGTCTAATCTTGACACAGTTTTGGTCATTGCACTCGGCTGTTGTCGATTTTCTGTTTTTTATTATTTTTTGCTCAGAGCTATTCGTTTTGTTAATCGTTTACATGCGTGTTCAATAAAATAGTAAATATCAGTTGTAAATAAATAATGTTTATTGTTGTTGTAAAAGCATAATTATTATGGCCCGGGGAATGTTAACGATTAAAACATAAATTAAATAATAAATAGAATCCACAGATCAGCAGAGGACAGTCAGAAAACTTTTTTCCAAGGATCTAGGTGTGGATTATTTAAAGAATATTTTTTCAAGGTCCCAACAGGCGTGGATTATTTAAAGAATATTTTTTCAAGGTCCCAATAGGCGTAGATTATTTAAAGAATATGTTTTCAAGGTCACAATAGGCGTGGATTTTTTAAAGAATATTTTTTTGAAGATCTCAAAAGGCGTGGATTATTAAAAGAATATTTTTTCAAGGTCCCGCCTTTATAAAGAATATTTTTTCAAGGTCCCCAATAGGCGTGGATTATTTAAAGAATAGTGTTTCAAGGTTCCAATAGGCATGGATTTTTTAATGAATATTTTTTCAAGGTTCCAATAGGCGTGGATTATTTAAAGAATATTTTTTCAAGGTACCAATAGGCGTGGATTATTTAAAGAATATTTTTTCAAAGTCCCCAATAGGCGTGATTATATAAAGAATATTTTTTCAAGGTCCCCAATAGGCGTGGATTATTTAAAGAATATTTTTTCAAGGTCCCCAATAGGCGTGGATTATTTAAAGAATAGTGTTTCAAGGTTCCAATAGGCATGGATTTTTTAATGAATATTTTTTCAAGGTCCTAATAGGCGTGGATTATATAACGAATATTTTTTCAAGGTCCCAATAGGCGCGGATTATTTGAAGAATAGTGTTTCAAGGTTCCAATAGCCATGGATTATTTACTTACTTATTAAGCTGACTTGTGACAGAACTTTCGTTCCATAAGCCGAGCTTAGAAAAGATTTCCAGGCGCATCGGTCTTTTTCGCAGTTTTTTTTTCAGTTTGAAAGATCGTATTCGACAATGTTGCCTTCGATTTGATCTTTCCATCTTATTCGTGGCCTTCCCCTTCTGCGTGAACCATCAGCTGGTTCGCTTACTGGGCTGGGGCATCTTCATCCATTCTCACAACATGACCTAGCCAACGTAGTCGCTTCAGCTCAATACATCTAACAATGCCGATGTCCGAGAATAGCTGGTACAGTTCATGGTTCATTCGACGGCATTATTCACCGTCAACGCAGATCGGCCCATAGATCTTTCGGAGAATTTTTCTCTCAAACACCCCAAGAGCTGCCTCATCTGCTTGCGCAAGTACCCATGCTTCTGATCCATATAATAGCACGGGTAGTATCAGCGTCTTGTAAAGTGTGAGTTTGGTCCGTCTGGAGGTGGCCTTGTTTCTAAACTGCTTACTCAGACCATAGTAGCATCGGTTGGCCATCACTATCCTTCTCCGAATTTCAAAACTGATGTCATTCGTTTTATTTATGGCGGTACCAAGGTTTATAAAATCTTTGACTACCTGGAAGCTGTAGATCTCATGTTCCACAGTTGGTCCGATTCTACTGGACGTCTTTCGCGTTGATACGGTATCAGCTTGGTCTTGTCGCCGTTTACTGCCACAGCCACTTTGGCAGACTCCTTCTCAATTTGTTCAAAGGTGGCTGTTACCGTTCTCAATGTTCGAACCCATTATGTCGATGTCATCGGCGTAGGCGAGTAACATGTATTGTTTGGTGTACAGAGTGTCATTTCTATTCACCTTTGCCTCTCGTATGGCCTTTTCCAGAAGGATTTTAAAAAGGTCACACGAAAAACTGTCACCTTGTCTGAATTCTCGTTCGGTATTTAAGGGCTCCGAGAGGTCCTTTCCGACTTTAACTGCTGTTCTTGTACCAGTTAAAGTTACACTGCATAGCCGAATTAATTTTGCAGGAATGCCAAACCTAGACATTGCTTTATACGCCTCTGAACGGCTGTCGAATACTGCGGCTTCATAGTCGACGAATAGGTGGAATGTGTCGATGTGTTTTTTGTCCAGGATTTGGCGTGGAGTGAAAATCTGGTCAATGGTGGACTTGCCAGGTCCGAAGCCGCATTGGTATGGTCCAATAATGTCATTGACCATTGGCTTCAGTCCATTACGCAGCACGCTGGATATCACTTTATGTGCGATGGGAAGGAGACTTATTCCTCTATAGTTGGCACATATCGTCTTGTCTCCTTTTTTATGCACGGGACACAGGATGCTCAGATTCCAATCATTGGGCATGCATTCCTCCAGATTGTACTTATAAGCTGGTGCATGCTCCTGGCCAGCATCTGACCACCAGTCTTGAATAGTTCGGCTTGTAACCCATCGGCACCTGCTGCTTTATTATTCTTCAGCCGAATGATTGCTATTCTGACCTCATCTTGGTCGGGCGAAGCACCGCACGCGTGCACTCTCGCGAGAGTAAGTATCACTATTCTCTCACACACATTCAACTGAACCAATTGGAAAACCATTGACACACACACAAAGACAAGTGCGTGAGAACAGAATTTTTTATGCTCTGCCCGTGCCTGCTCTATACCGTCATCTATTATTGGTTCTAGGGTATCCTCTTCACCGCTACTATTTGATACCAGAAGTTTTTCAAAATACTCCTTTCAGATCCTCAGCACGCTGTCTGTATCTGTCACCAGGTTTCCTTCTTCATCTCTACAAGAGGATGTGCCTGCACCAAAGCCTTCGGTTTGGTGTTTTACTCGTTCGTAAAATGTTCGGACTTCATTCTGACTCCTGTACATCTCGATTTGCTCACGTTCACGCTCACGTTTTTCTTGTTCTTTTTTCTGTTTATCCTTTTCCTTTTCTGCCGATAATTCTCCATCACATTACTTGTGGCTACTATTTGCAGGGTTGCCCTATATGCTGTGGCATTACGACACTCCTGATCGTACCATGGATATCTTGATGGTGGTTTTTGGTACCCAAGTGATGCTTTTGCTGCAGTTTGTAGGGAGTGGGCAATTCATTGCCATTGTGCTTCTGTACCATTATCGGGACAAGAAGTGCTTTCGTCAAGCTGGTGGGTAAGTTCAGCGGTGTAGGCCTCTGCTACCTGTTGTGTTTGCAGCTTTTCGACGTCGAGTTTCCGTGTTGTGTTAGATCGCAACTTTGCTGCTACATTAAGGCGGGGCTGCGAACCTTGGCTGCCACAAAATAATGGTCCGAATCGATATTCGCTCCTCGTATCGATCGAACGTCTAAAACACTGGACAAATGCCTTCCGTCTATCACAACAGGGTCAATTTGATTTCTCGTTGCTTGATAAGGAGAAATCCAGGTGGCCTTGTGTATATCGTGAAGCTTGAATCTGGTGCTGCTAACTACTATAGGATGATTATGATGAAAAGAGGGACCAAGATAAGCCTGGGCTTCGCCATGTTAAAGCCAATCAGATCCGTTGTTTGGTATCTATCGTCCCCTACGTCACCCAAAATATATATTTATTTTAAATCCACGCTTCGTTTGGTCCTTAAACAATCCTTTACAGAAATCTACCAATTTCATTGCGATTCTTTAACGAGTAAAATTGCTGTTCCAGTTTTACTTTTCCTATACATTTGTTTGTTCCTCCAATTAGTCATCGTCCTACTCCGAATCCAATGCTCTGCCCTCCAACCTCTAGATAATTTGTGATTTCCTTTCTTGACAACTGACTGAGTTGCATGCTTTGCTTCCCTTCCAGCCTTGCAGCTGTGCTGCATTGCTCCACAGTTCATAGCTCTTCTCGATGATGATTTTGTTTTTGTCAAAAGATTCTGATCCAAATACTTGAACACGTTTTTTTTTCTTTCCTGACTCCTTGTCTACATGTTTGGGTTTCTGTTGCCATCCAACATCGTCATCATCATTCATCCTCCACCTCATCAGCCATTCACAGTAGTGTTCCCGAAGTGTAGTAGCACTATTGGCAATTAGGTCAGGCGGCAAATAACTCTTGCCTACACTTCGAGTCGGATTTCTATACATCGCAACATATATTTGGAATTATGAGAGGTGGACAGGGGGACTGGATGACGGATGGTCGGTCGGGCAGGCGGTTGTGTAAATGGCAACCAAATCAAATCACAAAAGAAGAACGTCCCCTTTGCGCTTTTTCTTGTTGTTGTTGTTCACAAATCTGAACTGGAGAATATGTCATTAGCCCAGTATGATGGTCTCCCGAAGCAAGTGCTGAACCTACTGTCAGAACTTTTTTGTGGGTGTGCAATGATTGGACTGAAAAATGAAAATGAGCAACCAACCTGCAATTTTTGCAATGAGTCATTTAGGCATTATCAGCCCCTCACACACTTGTTCATCCATTTTCCATTCATCGCTCTTCCACTCTTCACCTTCACTTCCCTTAGTAACAGATTAAATGAGGTGATTGACTTACTGATGACAGCAGTAGCAGAAGTAAGGCAGCATAGAAGGGAATGGAATTAACTTTCAATGGAATTGGATAGAACCATACACTGAGTCCAGGTGTGTGTGTATGTCTGTGGAAAGCGTTGATTTGTACATGTCCTGTTGAATTCCCTATTCTCCCATTTACCTTCTCTCCCCTCACCTTAAATAAATTTTCTGTGGAGCAAGAAATTTTATTCAAATTGCGGAAATGACACAACGTGGTTAAAAGTAAAACGGAAACTTGGAAAATGTCAAGTAATTCAGTTGTTGTTGCCACCACCACTAATAATCAAATACAACAACAACCACAAATCGTGGTATAATGTAATGTTTTTTATTACCAATTTTAATTTAGTATTTAAATTTAATCTTCGATTTTTTTTAAATATTTTCCTGAAATTTAATTTTCTTCTTCTTGTCTTTTTCATTCTGCAGATCACAACATCCACTGCCAAAAAACTATGGGAGAAATCGGATGGCAAGGGCGCCTCATCGGCTGGTGTTACCGGTGGCCCCCTAAATCCCTTGCACATTGGTGATCCACATGTTTGGAAAGATTCGCCATGGTCAACACAGACTGAAACCATATTGCCGAGGCCACGTACATTTCCACAAGCGCCCGATACGACAGCGAGTGGAAATGCTGGCATATTAAGGTGAGTGAGCCAAAGGGTCTTTCAAGTTTTTTTTTTTTTTTATAAAATAAAACAAAATAATTGTGAAGATAAGGGCTTAGGGCTTGGTAGCTTATTTTATCGAGAGAATCTTAAAGAGATCACGAGATGAAGCGATATCAAAATGGCTTGAAGAACCTGACTAATGAGGGATCTCCTTGTCTTCTAAATAATATTTCAAAAAAATTACGCTTCAATTTTTTACACGATCCACTCTATTTTAAATATTTCTAATGTTTCTTTCCTTGAAAAAAAAAATCCGCACCTCGTTTAATTTTTTAAAATATTAAAAAAAAATCCACGCCTCGTTTATTCTTTAAAAAATCCACATCATCCTTGAAATAAAAAACAACGCCTTGAAAAAATATTTAAAAAAAATCCAACCCTCGGTTAATCCGTGAAAAAAATATTTAAAAAAAATCCAACCCTCGGTTAATCCGTGAAAAAAATATTTTAAAAAAATCCACGCCTCGGTTAATCCGTGAAAAAATATTTTTTTAAAAAATCCACGCCTAGGGATTTCTTTTTAAAAAAATTTAAAAAAAATCCACGCCTAGGCATTTCTTTTTAAAAATATTTTAAAAAAATTTACGCCTAGGGATTTCTTTTTAAAAATATTTTAAAAAAATCCACGCCTAGGGGTTTCTTTTTCAAAAATATTTTTTTAAAAAATCCACGCCTAGGGGTTTCTTTTTCAAAAATATTTTAAAAAAATTCACGCCTCGGTTAATCCGTGAAAAAAATGTTTTAAAAAAATCCACGCCTCGGTTAATCCGTGAACAAATATTTAAAAAAAAATCCACGCCTCAGTTAATCCGTGAAACAATGTTTTAAAAAAATCCAAGCCTGGGTTAATCAGTGAAAAAATATTTAAAAAAAAAAAAATCAACGCCTTGGTTTATTCGTGAAAAAAATATTTTTTTAAAAAATCCAAAAAATCGTAAAAATCTGTTTCAAAAAATTCTAAAAATCTGTGGTCTTCTTTAATAAAAGGAGCGGCATTTTTTAATGCACGCCTTGGAATAGGCCTTAAAAATATATTTTTAAGAATCCACGCCTATGGATAGACAAAAAATTATAATTTTTTAAATGCGACTACACAAAAAGTTTGAAATCCATGTCCAAAAACATTTTTTAAATCCACGCCCAAGGAAAGGCTGAAGAAATATATTTAAAAAATCCAAACATATAGCCATAGACCTTGAAAAAATAATAAATGGAAATTAAAAAAAATTAAAAACCATTTAAAAAAAAAAATAAATAAATAAAAACGCCTCTATTTTTAGGAAAAAATTAATTTTTTTTCTATTTATACCCTTCAGCACACTGTGGCACATGGTATTATGTCTTTGCGCATATGTTTGTACCAGACAAAAGGAAACGAGATAGACACAGGGTTCCTTTTGAGAATATGCATAGGATCACTTTCTGAGCCGATTTATGCATGTCCGTCCGTCCGTCTGTTCATGTTAACTTGTAAACAAAGTACAGGTCGCATTTTTCATTCGAATTGGAGGAAATTTGGCAAACCTCATTCATTTGGCCCAAGGACCCTATTGAAATTTAGATATAGCTCCCATATATATTTTCGTCCGATTTTAGATAAATAGTGCACCAAAGTGCCTATATATCCTTCCATTTTCACGAAATTTGGCAAAACGTGCTGAATTAAGTCCATAGTGATGTGTGTTAAGTTTCATGAAAATCGGTTCAGATTTAGATATAGCTCCCATATATATTTTCGTTCGATTTTAGGTAAATAGTGCACCAAAATCCCTATATATCTTTCGATTTGCACGAAATTTGGCAAAGCGTACTGAATTAAGTCTAGAGTGATGTGTGTTAAGTTTCATGAAAATCGGTTCAGAGTTAGATATAGCTCCCATATATAGTTTCGTCCGATTTTAGCTAAATAGTGCAACAAAGTCCCTTAAAATCCTTCGATTCGCACGAAATTAGGCATAGTGTACTAAATAAAGTCTAGAGTGATGTGTGTTAAGTTTCGTGAAAATCGGCTCAGTTTTAAATATAGCTCCCATATATATTTTCGTCCGATTAAAATAATGCACAAGGTCCCTATATATCTTTCGATTTGCACGAAATTTGGCATAGCGTACTGAATTGAGTCTAAAATGATGTGTGCTAAATTTCGTGAAGATCGGTTCAGATTTAGATATAGCTCTCATATATATTTTCGTCCGATTTTAGGTAAATAGTGCACCAAAGTCCCTATATATCATGAAATTTGGCATAACGTACTAAATTAAGTCTAGAGTGATGTCTGTCAAGTTTCGTGAAAATCGGTTCAGTTTTAGATATAGCTCAGATATCTATTTTCGTCCGATTTCAGGAAATAGTGCACCAAAGGTCCTATATATCTTTCGATTTGTACGAAATTTGGCACAGCCTAATGATTTAGGTCTAGAATGATGTGTGTTAAGTTTCGTGAAAATCGGTTCAGCTTTAGATATAGCTCCCATATATATTTTCGTCCGATTTTATGTAAATAGTGCACCAAAGTCCCTATATATCTTTCGATTTGCACGAAATTTGGCATTGCGTACTGAATGAAGTCTGGAGTGGTGTGTGTTAAGTTTCGTGAAAATCGGTTCAGATTTCGATATAGCTCCAACATATCCATATGTATTCGTTCGATTTTACATAAATGTAGGGTGCGAAGAATGATTAAAATACGCTCGTTCTCACGAATGCTCACGGGCGAGAATTTGAATGTTTTCAATTTATCGCGAATGATAAAGTTACAATGAATGCACAAGCATTTGCATTCTCTCGTGAATGTTCGCATTGTACGAAAAATTCACAAACGATAAAAATTCGCTGCAAGTGTCGTCGATTCATTCTTTCGCGAGCATTTGTTGCTGAAGAATATTCTTTTGAAAAACTCAAAAAACAAATGTTCGCGAATTCTCGCGAGCACTGTTAAAAACAACAACAAACAAAATAATGTATTTTAAATCATTCGCGAGCGAATTTTTGCGCACCCTGCATAAATGGTGAACCAAACTCCTTATGTTTGTTCGATTAATACGAAATTTTGCACAACGTATCAAATTGAGACTTGAATGACGTTATTGCGTTTTGTTGAAATTGGTGCAGATGCAGCCACAGCTTCCTTATGTATTTTGAACGGGTGTCTGTTTGAAATTAAATTTTTAACAGTGTGGTGTACCGAATATCACGTATCAAATTTGCTATAAATTTCCATAAATTTGTCCCATGATGCGCAGACGACACTAGATCTGCCCGCATGAAATTAAATTTATCATAGGCTACAAATAAATGTAATTTCATTGAGATACAATTGTAAGGATACATTTGTACAATATACCTACAGTGGTGAAGGGTATCATGTAGTCGGCCTAGTCCGACTTCACTACTTTCCTTACAGATTTTTACAATAAATCCTTACTTTCATGAATTGACTTTATTAATTATTTTATAAAAAAAAAATGATTTAATTTTTTCCTAATTTTAATAATTTATTTTATGTTTTTTATTATCTTTACAGTCCTCGTGATTCAACAAGTGGTTTGGGTGTTAAAATGGTCGAATATGTTTTGGGTGGATCACCAACGAACAAAGAGAGTCCTTTGTCCGGTTTGGAACCACGCTTAAGAGGACTGAAGTTCGATGATAATGATAAGGTGAGTTGAAGCAAAAAAAAAAAAAATAATAATAATAATAATAAATAAATTAAATTGGCTATTCTCTTCGATATGTCGATGAGGGACATTTTCGTCGTAACATGGTGTATATAACCCACTAAGGGTCCCCTGAGAGTTATTTTTCTATAAAAAAAATATCTGGTTCCCGAAAGTATAATTTTTAATGCGAATAATTTTTCAGAACTCCTGAGGATTGCAAAAAAAAAAAATTAAAAAATAATGAGAATTATTTTTTCAGAGGTTCCGTAAAAAATCCGTAGAAAAATTCTTAGGTCCACAGAGGACTGTTTGGCAACCTTCCCTCGAATTTTCGTATAAATATTTATAAGGCCTATATTTGCTTCTTCTTTTACAGTAACTGCTTAAACCCCAAATAGTGCAGCCCGCACAGAAAATTTGAGTGAACATTAAATAAAATTCCCACTGCATTTCCAATCGTTCCAACCCAACAAACACTAAAGAGATAACCTCATTAGTTGTCAATGCCCTTTTCTGCATATCTATCTACTTATTTTATTATTGCTGTTGTTGTTGTTGGTGGTGTTGGAGGTAATTTTCATTTAATGAAGTGGTGGCGAATAAATTCGCTTTACACAAAAATTGTTCTGACTGTCTATGGCTGTTTATCTATAGAGGTTTATTTCCTATCCGGAATTCTTTTTTTTATTTTGTCCAATTGTAAATGCGAACCAATCAACCAACCGGCAGCGACAGTAATTTTGTAGTTAACACCCTATGTAAACCGCGATGCACCAGCATCCACATGTAAACATGTAATGGGGGAGATAAATAAAAATACCTTCTATCCCCTTATGTAGAATTCCTCCAGAAGAGAATTATTGTAATTGAAACGGAAGGAAGTTAGCCAGACCAGGGTAATTCTGTAATCACTAAACGCAGAGTTAATTTTGTTTAATAAAAACGAGATTTATTTTTTTGCAGAAGAGAGTCATTATAGATAGCATTTTTTTCTATATAAATCTCTGAAACCTATGAAAGGAAGTTAGCTATAGATGGAGTCTTCAAGGGGGGTTAGAATATCTATATATGGGCCCTGTGGATATCTATAGAAAAAAGTAATCCCCAAAAGACCTTAGAAGGGACTGAAGAAGGTAACCCCAAGTCCTGAGGCGTACCAGTTATATAGAAAATAATTGTTTTCCACTACTATAATGTAATCCTTAGGTTCCTGATGTTCGGTAATCCTCAAGGGTCTTTAGCATTTTTTAAAACAAAGATGATCATCAGAAGCCCTAAGGATTTTTTTTTTACATAAAATTGTAATCATCATATTTTTCTTACCAAAGATTTGACCAGCTATGGAGAGGTAACAGGAGAAGTTGCCCTATAGATCCCATTATCGGATTTTATTAGGTTTTGTAACAATACATTTTTTTTTAATTTGAGGCAGGTACCAGAAGACTGAACAGTTTTATACCTTCTCCTAATTATATACAGTAGTAAATTTTATATGACTCGCTGAAGTCCGCTTTTCATAGAAAAAAATCCAAAGTGATTTTTTGTAAAAAAATCTGATCTGTTTATTTATTTTATAGAAAAACCACAAATCATGTAATGGTTCTTTTTCTACAAAAAATCTAAAGACTGATTGATGTATGTTCTTCCGTAGAAAACCTTAGAATTAGCTTTCTAAAAATAAATAAACTTCTCTGATGACAAAAATGTTTGTTAAAAATCGTTTTTCTACAACAACAACTCCCTCATGGACCCTACCGTTTTTTTTGTATAAAAGCAAAACTACTTTTAAAATAACCAAAAATCCTCATGTCCCTTGAGAAATTCTAAAATCACCTGAAAGTTCCTCAGGTCCATTAAAGTTTTAATTTCTCTGAGGATTTCATTTCTGAAAACAAATTTATCAGGTCTCCTGAGGATTTATCTTCTAGAGCAAAATCCTTATCTACCCTGAGGGATGTTTTTCTTTAGAAAAATTCCTCATGTCCATTGAAAATTGGTTTAGTATAAAAATATATTTAGATCTCCTGAGGGACCTCTTCTGCAGAAAATAAATCTTTTTGTACAAAAAAAAAAAAAAAAAAAAAAAAAAACTCTTTAGCCCTCTATGAGGGTTATTTTTCTAATCAAATTATTCATTTTGTCCCCACAAGAAAACAATTTCTCCGCTCACTTCTGGTGCCTGCGTCCCTACAGTAAAAATCCCCCGGTCCCCTGAGGGTTGTTTTTACAAAAAAATATATAAGGTCACTTGAGGTTTTCTTTTTCGCAACAAAAATTCCCAGAGGTGTTTTTTCCATCGAAAATTTTCTTTAGGACCTCTGAGAGTTGTTTTTCTATAGCAAACACCAGCAACATCTTGAAGTAGTAGAGATTGCGAGCTCGATATATTGTTCTTCTTTTTTATAGCGGGGTCACGTCGTTAATATAGAGACATTCCCTTCATTATTCATTATCGACATAATCGAATCGACCGTAATTGGATATTTTGGGTTCTCATTGGTTGAAAAATCTTCAGAAAGTTTATTTAAGGGAACCCCCTCTATTCTCGATTTTAATTTTTCAAGATTTTCAATGGGCTGGTAAATCAATACCAATGTTTTTTAAGGTTTGTAACTTTGCACAGTTGTTGTTGTAATTTTGTAATTAAAGAAAAGTCCTTATTTTTGATGGCGGGCGTGATAACTCCTCACTGGAACATCGGAATCCGAAAATTCCAACGGTGATAGAAAGAGTACATGTCTGGCTCTCGTATGAACTAGGATTATTGACTTCGCTCTAAAATTAACAAAATGGTGGACCTTTGAAAAAATATTTTTGGAAAATCGCCGATTTTTTACCAAAAACCAAGTTAAAAAATAAGGTTAATCTTCGTACCAAAAATTATCAATATTGGTCCAATTGTTTTTGGTACCCTCCCAATATTTGTTATTTTGAGAATTTTTGTCACGTTTTCCGACCGAGGAATTTAGAATTTCGAATTGACTTTGTGCAGAAAGTTTCCTTACCAAAAAGTATCAATATAGGCCTAACTTTCAGGGTAGCATACATATAACGGGTAGCCCCCATTATTCGATATTTTGAATACACGTTTTCAAATGTATCGGCTGTAATCTGATATTTTCAATTTCCATTGCTTTGCAAGTCTTCCTATTATAAATTACGAATGTCGGTCCATGTTCTGATGTAGACCCCATATAAAGATTGCGCTAATTTTCGGTATTTTGAGAATTTCAGTCAGGGTTTTCAATCGAATTGGTTGTAATCGGATATTTTAGGTTTTCATTAGAATACAGATATTCCTAGCAAAAATTTCAAGTATCGGTCGATCTTTGGATATAGCCTCCCATATACAAGTTCAGCCTTTTAAATGTTATTTTAATGGCCCTATGCGTATTTTCCAACCAAAGTGACTATATTTTATAATTACGAAGTTGGCTGTAATTTTGATAGTCTAGGACATGGGTGGGTAACCAGCTTTCTTACGGAATATGTTAGATATATTTATGATTCTACTAGACCCATACAAAGCTCACGCATCATTTTTAGTATGTTCAAGGTCTTTGTTTTCTGTTGGCTGGAATTTACCATGGCATAGCCTCCATAAAAGCCTCAATAATTTTTTCGTATTTTAAATGTCGGGCCTCAGTGAGGGCTTGTTTAAATAAAAAGAAGTCAAGTCCACTTAGGGTGGCTTTTTCTATAGAAAATACTCCTCAGGAGAAACAAGTTCTCAGGACCCATGGGTCAATTTTTGCTATAGTAAAAAATTCGAGTCCGTTGAGGTCTGTTCTCTATAGAGAAGATTCCTTAGGTCAACTGAGGTATAGTATTCTATAGAAAAAATATCAGGGCTACAGTGTATTTTTCTATTAAAAAAATCTCAGGTCTACTGAGTTCTGATTTTCTATAGAAATAAATTCCTCAGGTCTGATTTTCTGTTGAAAAAAAATCAAGCCTCCTAAGGTCTGTTTTTCAATAGAAAAAATCCTTTGGTCGCTTGAGGCCTGTTTTTCTATAAAAAAAATCCTCAGGTCGCTTTCTTCTAAGGTCTTATTTTTTATAAAAAAATAGTCAGGTTCCCTGAAAAAAAATCATTAGGACCCCTGAGGTCTTCCTTTTCTATAGAAAAAAATTCCTCAGGTCTCCTGAGGTCGGTTTTTTATATAGAAAAAATACTCAGATCTCCTGAGGTCGGTTTTTTATATAGAAAAAATACTCAGATCTCCTGAGTTCTGGTTTTCTATAAAAACAATTGAAGTGTGTTTTTCTATAAAAAAATTCCTCAGGTTCTCTGAGACCTGTTTTTCTATAGAAAAAAAAAATGCTCAAATCTTCTGAGGTCTGTTTTTCTGTGGAAAACAATTTCTCAGGTCTACTGATATCAGTTTTTCATGGAAAAAACTCCTCAGGACGTTTGAGGTCTTTTTATTGGTCTTTAGTATGAGTTACAATTTCCATTACATTTATTTTCTTTTTTGTTCTCATTCCAGTCTCACGACGATAAAGAGAAGGCTAATTCTCCTTTTGACACAAATGGTCTGAAGAAGGATGACCAAGTGACCACAACGAATGGTGTTGTCAATGGCATTGACGATGACAAAGGATTCAAGTAAGTACCAAACATTCGATTTGAAATAAATTTTGGATAGGATCCAAATAGGAAAATTACCTGAGGCTAAGTCTAGGTGCTCTGATAGGATACAATTTGACCCAAGGGAATATTCAGAGACTTCAAAAAAAAAAAAAAATTAATAATAATAAATAAATCAATCCTATTCTTCTGCAATTCAAATTCGGATTACCCGTTCTCTTCTCAATTTCCACATCACTAGCAGATTATTGCATCCAATGTTAGGTAACAACGAAAATCAGTCACTGGTTGGTTGTTGTTGTTTTTGTTGATTTGTGGTTATGTCAAATGTTGTTGCTGTTAACAATCACAATGTTGTGGTGGAGTGCCTCGACTCTCCTCCAATCTCCCAACATCTTTCGACGAATATTTTGCTTGAGTAATTGTTTAATACGAGTGTACGTGTGTGTTGGTACCACAAGCTGCAGTGTGTGTTGCATGCTGCAACAAACCACAATTGCTAACAATAACCAGCCACCAAACACCATGCTGGTTTTTGGCGGTGGCAGTGACGTCGAGGATGGCTGATGCAGCAGCAGCTGCTGCTGCCTGCATCCAGCCATGCTTCACAATCCCCGTCAACTTGTTTGTAATGGCATTGACATTAGAATTGGAGAACTGGTTTCTTCAAGGTTTCCATTTGCGTTTTTCTTCAACTTCTCCTTTCCCAGTTGATCGGTTCGGTCGGATCTGGTCTGGCATGGCCTGGTGTGTGCTTATTTTGGGTTGTTTCAATGGTAGTGTCTGCATGCCGTCTTAGTTTTCAGCAGGCAGTCAGCCAGCCAGCCAACCGGCTTTTGTGCCGCAAAAACCAACAAAAACTAGACGACAATAACAATCATCACATAACTTCAACACTAGAGCGGAGGCATATTGACTTGATTATGGTTGCTATTGCAGACACCGATTCCGGGACACAATTAAATAAACACAGTGGGAGAAAATTTCTCAAGACCCTAGGGTATCTGAGAAATTGTTTACTATAGAAAAACACATCTCAGGGGCCCTGAGGATTTTTTCTATAGAAAAACAGACTTAAGGGGTCCTGAGGATTTTTTTCTATAGAAAAACAGACCTCAGCGGTCCTGAGGAATTTTTTTCTATGGAAAAAGAAGACCTCAGGGGTCCTGAGGATTTTTTTCTATAGAAAAAGAAGACCTCAGGGGTCCTGAGGAATTCTTTTGTATAGAAAAAGAAGACCTCAGGGTCCTCAGAAAAGCAATCCTCAGAGGTATCTGAGGATTTTTTTTATAGAAAAGGAAGACCTCAGGTTTCCTGAGGAATTTTTTTCTATAGAAACAACAGACCTCAGGGGTCCTGAGGATTTTTTTCTATAGAGAAACAAGTCCTCAGGGGTCCTGAGGAATTTTTTCTATAGAAAAAGAAGACCTAAGGGGTCCTGAGAAATTTTTTCTATAGAAAAAGAAGACCTCAGGGGTCCCGAGGAATTTTTTCTATAGAAAAAGCCATCCTCTTAGGTTTCTGAGGATTTTTTTCTATAGAAAAAGCTATCCTCAGAGGTTTTTGAGGAATTTTTTTCTATAGAAAAAGCCATCCTCAGAGGTATCTGAGGAATTTGTTTCTGTAGAAAAAGCCATCCTCAGAGGTTTCTGAGGAATTTTTTCTATAGAAAAAGCCATCCTCTTAGGTTTCTGAGGATTTTTTTCTATAGAAAAAGCTATCCTCAGAGGTTTTTGAGGAATTTTTTTCTATAGAAAAAGAAGACCTCAGGGGACCTGAGGATTTTTTTTCTATAGAAAAAGAAGACCTCAGACCTCAGAATTTTTTTCTATAGAAAAAGCAATCCTCAGAGGTATCTGACGAATATTTTTCTATAGAAAAAGCAATCCTCAGAGGTATCTGACGAATATTTTTCTATAGAAAAAGCAATCCTCAGAGGTATCTGACGAATATTTTTCTATAGAAAAAGCAATCCTCAGAGGTATCTGACGAATATTTTTCTATAGAAAAAGCAATCCTCAGAGGTATCTGAGGAATATTTTTCTATAGAAAAAGCAATCCTCAGAGGTATCTGAGGAATATTTTTCTATAGAAAAAGCAATCCTCAGAGGTATCTGAGGAATATTTTTCTATAGAAAAAGCAATCCTCAGAGGTATCTGAGGAATATTTTTCTATAGAAAAAGCAATCCTCAGAGGTATCTGAGGAATATTTTTCTATAGAAAAAGCAATCCTCAGAGGTATCTGAGGAATATTTTTCTATAGAAAAAGCAATCCTCAGAGGTATCTGAGGAATATTTTTCTATAGAAAAAGCAATCCTCAGAGGTATCTAAGGAATATTTTTCTATAGAAAAAGCAATCTTCAGAGGTATCTGAAGAATATTTTTCTATAGAAAAAGCAATCCTCAGAGGTACCTGAGGAATATTTTTCTATAGAAAAAGCAATCCTCAGAGGTATCTGAGGAATATTTTTCTATAGAAAAAGGTTTTTTTTTTTTGAAAAAACAGTCTGAGGAATTTCTTCTATAGAAAAAGCAATGCTGAGAGGTATCTGAGGCATTTCTATTCTATAGAAAAGATAGTTCTCAGAGGTATCTGAGGAATTTTTTCTATAGGAAATAGCAGACTTCAGAGGTATTTTTTTCTATAAAAAAGCATCAGCCGGACCTGAGGATTTTTTTTCAATAGAGGAATTTTCTTCTATAGAAAAAATTATCCTTCGTAGGACCTGAAGATTTTTTTACTCAGGCTCTCACTGTTCTCTGGTTGTAATCCAAGACTTTTCAACACATTCACACCTGTTGTGTTTGTGTGCCAATAGCCCCCTCTAACTTGCCATACATTTACCGACTTAGCCTGGGCTAGGCTACCCTGCCAGTCAGCCAGCATGTTAACAGCTTCAAATTGTTTATATTTTCCGGTTACCAGAAAACTTGTTCATTTCCTTTTGGCGGTGTCGTCTGGCTCAGTCGCCTGCTGCCTCCACACCCCGACAAAGAACTTGCTGGCATTGTGTCTGCATCTTGTGTCTGTCTTCTTCTTGAGCTTCCACACACACACACACATACGTTGTTCGTCATGTGTGGAGTATAGATTTCTTCTTCAGCTTCGGAGGGGTTTTCATTCGACGGCACTTGTGTGTGTTCTGCACTTATCCAAGACTGCGGACGGTGGTGTTATGGCAGCATTCTGGTTTCCTTATTTTGTTGTTGTTTTCTTCTTGTCGGATTGTTGGTTGGTGTTATTGCAAATACAAAAGTTTTTCATGTTGTTATTACAACATAGTTTTTGGTTTTTAGTTTCAGGTTTTCATTTTCATTTCTTTCAGTATTTGTCTGCTTCTACGTCTTGTTGTAGTTTCTTCTCCCTTCCATTAGAATTTGCCAATTTTTTTCATTTGTTATTAAGAAACTTCTAAAGTTTTTTTTTAAATTTTTTTCTTCGTTGTTTTTGCCTTTTTTCTTGCATAACTCTTACTCTTAACTTTTCGCTTTTCTTGAAGATTTTCCAAGATTTTTTTCTGTTTGTTTGTCTGTTTCTTTTCATGTCTGAAATGTCGAAGAAAAATGCTGGTAACCGGTTCTTTTCTTTTTGGCTTTAGTACACTTGCCGCCAGACTTGAATATCTTTTCTTTTATTTGAAAATAATTTAATGGTGATTTATGTCAAGAGTTATTTCATAAAAATGAATGTTTTGTTTTGCCTAATATGGAAAAAGTTTGGGGAAATGCTTCCGAAGTGATTTTAATGGTTTTTGGCAAATCTTTGGAAACTGAAAAGGTTTGGGGGTACGTTGGAGATTATTTTTAGAAAAGGTTTAATAAAAATATATCCTACTTTGGAAAAATAGTTTATTTTTTAAAAAAATCTATCTGTTCGATTGGCGGATTTTTCATCTATAGAATAAATAATCATCAGATTTTGAGTTACTTTAGAAGTTTTCTATATCCATATCGATTTTAACACAACACAAAAGACAAAGTGACAAAGGGAGGGTGACGTACGAATTTATTCGTGACGCAACGTTCGTTGTGGACCGGCCAGACTTTCGCTTCGGCTTAAGTACTGGTTTTGTACTGACGGGGCATGGTTCTCTCAATCCGTTTCTGCATGAAAGAGGCCTGTCCCAGACGGATTTATGTGGGTGCGGGATGACTGAGGACTGGAAGCATATACTGACGGAATGCTGTTACTATGATGACATTAGAGATTTAGGAAGTATGGGTATGTAGAAGGGAGGGTCGGGGTGAGATTTCAGTAGAGTTATTGAAGACGATCGGACCTTTAGTTGTTTAAGTAGTTTTGCTCGTGAAACATTTAGGAGAAGGACAGCACTTAGTGGAGGTTGCCCTCGCAGGTGGATTTAGTCGGTTGCACCGGGTGGTGGTGGGTTGGTGCACCGGGTGGCGATGGGTGTTGGTGCGGTTGTTGGTGGTGAGCGTGCTGGCTGCGGTCGTTTTGCATCGTGGGAGGTTCGCGGGAAAAAGAAATCCATTATTTTCTTTATATGAACTACAGGGCTTTATTTAACATGCTGCGGAATGTCCGATTTGGCCCACATGTGCACAGTTTTGTTGTATGATATGTTGCCATTTTAAAGGTAACTTCATACTGCCTTTCTCATAGAAGTCCTGCTCTCTATTTGCAAAAAAAAAAAAAAACTCTAGTTGTCGAGTAGTTCACAATCCTCCCTAGATACCAATTTTTTATCTTTTAAGAAAATTTTGCAATGCACGAAAAAGATGATAATCGCTTGGTGCTAAGGCCGGACTGTATGGCGGATGCATTAAAACTTCCCAACCAAGCTACCGAAGTTTCTGGCGAGTCACTGTAGCTGTGTGTGGCCTAGCATTGTCCTAATGGAACACGACACATCTCCTGTTGGCCAATTCTAGCCGTTTCTGGTCAATTGCTATCTTCAAACCGACCAGTTGTTGACAGTAGAGATCAGAATTTAGCGTTTGGCCATATGGAAGCAACTCATAATAAATAATCCCCTTCCAGTCCCACCAAATGCA